TCTAAAACTTCTTATAATATATTAAAACAATATAAAAATATCATAATAAATCTTTTTTACTCATAAAAAATATATTTTTAACTTAAATTGTCTTTTCGTCATCTTATCCACTACTAAAAGTCATCTTACATATGAGGATAAGCTGACAAAATTGATATCTCTAAAAAAATTAAATTTTAAAGAATTGTAATTTATTTAACAATTTTATAATTTTTATAAATAATAACTAAGATTATAGTAAACTTGAAAAAAATAAATCAGTCTTTTTACTTCATTACAGAAATTAGGAAAAATCATTACATTAAACTTAATATATTTATAACTGGAAAGTATATTTGTGTACATATACATGAAATTTAATGTACATGTTCATTACATTTAAGTAAACTACTAATTTAATTTTCAGTTAAATCATTCATTACTTTTAATTTCGTTCATAACCATAAGCTTCATTTACATCTAAAGGAAGTATTTTTAGCAGTGTTGATTATACCTTTGGGGGCGTACAATATATCAGTAGTTTCGAATTTCATGAGGCGTCTAATTGTTACGCTATTACAACGAAGAGAATTAGTTATATTAAAGCCGTTGGCTCGTTTCGATCAGAATGAGAATATTACAAGTGTTTGGATTTTTCGTAATCCTTTGGCATGGTCAATTTGGTACGTTAAATAATCTTTATTAAAGCAACTATTATTATTACGTATATTTTTCTACATTCAGTAACTTAGCACCCCTACAGCACAAAGTACAAAGTTGCTGCAATACTGCAACAACATTGTATGTTGCAACAATATTGTAGAGATTTTACAGCGATATTGCTGCAAATTCTGTGCTGACTGCTGTATGGACAGTTAATTCTATCATTTAAAAATCTGTTATCTATCATTTAAAAATAATCTTTATACTATTATAAAAGCATTCCAAAAACACTACACATAAACAAAAAGTAATATATATATTAAAATATTTTAATTTATGTTAAATTTGATTATTAATTAAATTTTAATGTAAATTTCTATATTTTTTTTAGCTTTTATAATGAAGGAAACAGAAGATATTGTAACACGAGGATGCAAAAAATTGGAAAATACAACCCCTTTATTGCGTCTTAAAAAGTATCTCTTTTGCGATTACGATAACACCGTCCGTCCAAATCATCATAAAGTAGTTACCAATATAACTCTCAGGCTGATGCCGAAAATGATGGAATTCGTAAGTGCATCATTATTGATTGTGGTATTTAATTGTAAGTAAATAGTTCTATAATGTGCTAAGCACGCATCATACTTTAAATATAATATTTCGAGATAGCATGATGTATTATAGCTATATATTTAGTGTAAATTTTTTATTATTTAAATTA